CATTTAATTTTCACAGTTACACACACTATAGTTCACAACAATTCACTCATTTTCTATCGCGCTTAGACTTAATTGTCCGTCCCCGCCAACTATAGTTCCGATCTCTGTATCTGCTATCCTCAGTTCCCACCGACCGTAATTGCTGTCTTTCTTTCTCTCTCTGCCTGCTTCGTCTCTGCCTCGTCTCCCTGTCTAGCGTACTTATATACGATAATACTGCCTGTTCTAGAAACTTCTAAGACTCTCAACACGTGCTACCAGCGTCACTTGACTCCCGCTGTCGCAACACACTAGCGAATCTTCTATAATATTCGTCACGTGACCCCGCTGTCGTAACACACTAGCGAATCTTCTAGAATACTCGTCACGTGACCCCCACTGTCGTAACAATATCTTTGTACTTTCGATAGCCATGTTAAGATTTTAACATAACACTATGTCATAACCACTAAGTAACTACAGTTCAGATTGTTATTTGCCGACTATCAACAATTTGTATCTATTAGTAAGAATTGAATTAGGTTTAGTAAAAGAATAAGAGCAGTCTAAGAATTAAACAGACGTATTTTACGAATTTAGACCAAAAATTTATAATTAGAAAAACTTATTAATTTTCTAAACATTTTATTTATTAAACAGTTTTCGTTAAATTGAATAAGATTTTAGAAATCATGCAGTTAAGTTCTGGTGAAAGTATCAATGAAAGAAAGCGAAAATCAACAAAACTTCTACAATCGTCAAACATAGTCGAATGCCCAAACATTTATTTGTTTTCCATAGAGTCTTACAATTCCTACAAACAAAGAGTGACATTGGAAACCACTTACCAACATACCAACATACCAACCATAGAGCAAGTCATTCCTAGAAACAAACCCTGTAGTAGGAGTCAATGTCACAAAGTCACATAATTACTGGATCCTAGACTGCTTCTCACGTACAAGATAACTTCTGTATTTCAACGCCAGTGGTTTATATTGTGATGTTTAGGTGTGAAAAAGATGCACTTTGAGTATGGAAACATGTGAGCGACATTAAACTGTGTAATCTGTGTAAAACTATTGAAATACATTTAGAAACTTACAACAGTGGGGAAAGTGAAGTAAGAATTTGAATACGATTTTCACCAATTAAGACGAGAGTCATGAAAAAGCAAAATGTTTTAAAAAGCCCTGTTTTATTATACATGTAATTTATAGTTAAAACAAAGATTGGGCATAGACTTTTTTAGGTATTGAAAAGAAAAACTCCTTGTAGCTGGGACTGTTTTACCTAAAGGATGGATAAAACGGACCCCAAAACGGATCTGACTCATTACAACTGCAATTGAAAATAAATGCTGCATTTAGCAACTGCATTTAAATCACTTGTCTCGTTATTTAAATGCTCCTGCAGTAATTCAAATATGTAACAATTTATGGCTCTCCAATGTTTCCATCTTCTACAGTCTGGCCCTTCATAGATAAGATGGTGGACTACACTGCTTTTGATCATTTCGAGATTTTTTTATTTCTGTCACACTAAACAGCAGGAACTAAACAAAGACTCCTACAAGAGGAACAAGTTATTCATCATAATGAAAACTCAGTCTCTTACATGTAGGTGTCGTGCCTACACTTCATTCTTAATTGCATTTGTGGCTCCTGCCATTTCTCCTAACCTATAACAACTTTCAACTTAAAACACGAGTAATATAAGTATACATACATACCTAAATGCATTTTATAAGGTAATATTTTTGCCTTACAATTTTCTAGCGTGTACGCCCTTTCATGCGCCACGATAAGCTAGTTTGAACATATGTTAAACATAATAATGGCTGGAGACGGCTTGAATGGGTAATGAAAAAAAACTTTAATATAAGTTTAACATAACAGCAAATGTACAACGTTTCGACAAGGTTTTGTCATCATCAGGTACAAGTAATTTACACTGACACAAATATATATATACAATATTGAACAAAGAAATCACACGACCGGAACTGTACAATTTCCTTACTCCATCTAGTGTACAATGACGTTTCAACATTTCGGTCA